AGGCCTACGAACAGAGCAGAAGCTCGGGTTCAACCATGTAAGATCCCCTCAAGTTTTGTTTTTGGACTTGGAGGCAATCCTGAAAAAAAACACCTCTAACAGCCAGGGCATCATGGCTGGTAGCCAAAAATACTGCTGCTGTCGGCCCATTCCAAAACAATGTCAGGAAGGGAGTTCCGGTCCATTGCGAGATCTTGAAGTCCTATGCAGCTGGTCTATCTCTGGGCGAAGGTGATGCCTTCCTGTTCATTGATGTCTTGCCGAACAGGATGGGTGGGGTCATCGCTGCATCAGTTGTATTGGGGGAATCTTGAAACCCGTAACCAGCTCCCAACTGACCCAAACATCCCCCAAGGCTCCCTGCTCAGAGTGTCGCGGTACAACCAGTCCTGGACCGGGGTCGCACTTCACACATTGAGCACTCGCCCATGGCAATTGAAAACCCTTAGGCATGTGGAGTTTGCACGGGCTGCGGCGACCTCTATCTTCGACAACACGTTGCCCCAGGCTCATTATTTGGGCTTTGTGAAGAAAGAGAACTACTCCAAAACTCAGGAGGCATTGTCTGAGTTGGTCTATGCGCACTGGGACCAAAGTGATGAGTCTGGACCAAAAGCACGGCCCAGGAGTGAAAACAACAATGAGCCCATTGGCCTCAAGATTCTCGCCATGGTGAATGGTACAGTGGTCTGGCCGGACTCATTGGGGACCCGGTTCCCAGCAGGAAGCATGGAGCACAAGGAACTGGAAAAGAAGCGTCTCGACTTTGTGGCAAAGTATCCTCAACCTGCAGGTGATACAGTTCAACCTGCCAGGCCTACCCAAACAGCGAGATCCACCGCCCGGCCGGACTTCAGCATTGACAATGGGGCCCTACCACTGGACCCAACCAGAGTGGTGGACCTTGCTGGAGTCAGTGCTTCTGACTTTACAGCTGAGAGGTGGGGGGTTGGATCAAACCAAGAGCGCAAATCTTTGATTCAGTCGTAGTGAACGACCCTGTAGGTTGGCATCTTGCATTGGAAAAAATAACCGGCCATCAGTGGTCTTAACCACTGACTTCAAGCTGTGGATTGGAAACGAAGGAAATGAGCAGCTACAAGTACAGCCCATGCCACTCTTCGGGTTTGGTCTTGGTGACTTCGAGGAGAAAGTCTACGGAGGCGCCCTAGCTGGAGTTAAGTTAAGCGCCTTCCCTTCCTTCTAATAGCAAGAGAGCCCGATCGATATACATGACTTGGGGGCAGGGCTCTTAGTTGGACTATTCTGATGCTGCTGAGGTGATGGTATGGGGGACGTTTCCAAGCGGATGCTGCCATGGAGAATTCTAGATGACAAGAAGCTCGTGTGCTTGAACAACGCACTGGTGCCGCTGTGTGAAGTTATGCGGCAAATGTCAGCCGACCATGGACTCGTGGACGTTCAGCTGCTGGATCATTCACTCAACCCCAAAATGCGGCCAGCGTTTTGGTTTCAATCTGACCAAACTTTTATGTTTGACTATAGCTGTTTGATGCTTTTTGGGGCGTCCTTCACCCTCTTCCCCATCGCCCATCACCATCTCCTGCAAATCCGCTCCGTGCCCCAGGCAGCAAATGAATCTGAACCTGTGGCAGCGCCGTTCCGCTTCAATGTCGAGCCGGTGAACGGCAACAAGACCCACTGCTTCCGACCTAATGGAGTAGATGGGCAGGACCTGATGAACCTGAAGCATCAGGTTTTTGGAGGGGTCTTCAAGAATAACTACGACAGGGTTTGTGACAACCTGAGGGCATCCGTCGTGTGGGAGGCCATCCTGTTTCGATTGAACTTACCCCGTGTTTAGTAAAAGACCATTGGGCTTGCACTCCAATGCTTCTTGAATCAAGACAAGTCTGTAAGATCCCGCCAGGTGAGCAAGTCGGCTTCCGTTCCTCCGAAGGTAATGCCAGTGAAGCCAAAGCTTTGGCTGACATGTAGTATGGTTTTGGCAGCAAACACATGGTACCAACTGAGTGCGGCTGCCTAAAGGCTTTTTGCTTTGAAAGACTTGGGCCTAAGTGGGCCTCGAAAGTCTTTGGGAATGGTGCTTGGACTCTGTAGGCGGATGGAGTTTTGGCATCCTAAATGATTCATGGATAGCTCACTGTCCAACTTGTTGGTTGCCTATGGTTGCCTGGGGACATCCATGGAGTCAAGCACAACTTTATCTCTCAAACCCGCTTCGATCAAACCTGTAGATAGAGCGACCCTATGGGAAGGAATGGCGGCAACATGGCAAAATGTTTTGTTGCCTTTGAGACTTTGAGTTTATGTTTTGGAACCCCAACATCGCACTGATGTTGCACTATTGGTCGAAATTTGTGGTGTTCCCGCAGCTCTTCTGTTTTTCTGCCCCCACAGTCTGTCATTGCAAGTGGAGTCAATGACTATCCTGTCCGCTGTGGACAAGTTGACAGAAAGCGAGGAAGATGAGGATAGGGTTTGAACTGCTTGATAGGCTTTTTCAATTAGTAAACAAAACAGAACACTACAGGCAAGCATGCGCAAACACAAGGTCTTGCGACAACAATGCATATGTTGCTTTGCTCATGGTTCTCTTAATTTTGAACTCTACCTTTTAATCACCCCCCGTGCAGGAGACCAAGCCCCAATCTGAGCTGGTGAAGGGTGGAGAACCTGGTGGCAGTAAGAAACCTGAAAAGAAAAGAAAAAGGAAGAAGACACCAACCACACACCCTTCCACCGCCACACCGTCTTCGGGGTCGAAGCCTGCTCGTGGGCGTGGTCGCAGTGAAACTCGTCGTAGCCGTGCTCGAGGGAGAGGTGGCGCCTCAGCGCGTAAGGAGAAGGCAGAGGTCACAACAGAGGGGAAAGAGAGCACCCCGCGAAGCACACCAAAAGCTGCAGCCAAGGCCAAGGCTAAAGCACAAGCAAAGGCGAAAGTGAAGCCAATGAAAGCACCGGCCGCCAACATGACACCATCCAGCAAAAAGAGGAAGAAGGAGACGGGGGCACCGGAACCGTCTGGTGCCCCAGTAAAGGAAAAGGAGAAGGCTGTAAAGAAGGCATCGTCAGCGCAAAAGGAAGATGCAAAGCCGAACAGGAAGGGAAAAAAACCAACAGGTGGGACACTGTAGTTTTTGTGAAACACAAAGGTCCAAAGGTTCAGGATAACCCGTACTTCTTGGCAGGCACTGATCCAAATGGCAATGCTGTGGGGAACCCCTACTTCTACAAAAGGTCCAACCAGTGGGCTTGCAAGTATTGCGGGAAGGAGTCTCTTCGGGTTGCTTAACCGCGCACCAGGCTTCAATTGTCAAGGTTGAACTTGCTCTCACGAACAGTATGTCAGAGTTCTTTAACCAGTTTTGGTCTAGGTTTTGTGGTGCATGCCACTTTCCTGTCCATTCAAGGTTGGTGGAGTCATCTACCCTGCATCCAGTGCGGACGCTGATGAGAAAGATCCTCTCAAACAAATAATCGCAGTAAACTTAGCTTTGTTTCTGCTCTCTTTAGATCAAAATCTCATGAACTTGTCCCCATATCTAGGATGTGGGTCACAAAATGCTGCTCGACGGCACCAAGCTCGAAGAGGTGAAGACCGTATGTGTTTCTTGGCTACCCAACCATAACCATCACCGCCACAGATTCGCTCAAAGCATCTCAAAACTAATAACTGCTTCCTTTGAGGCAAAGATGCTGAGTAAGGTGAGGGTGATTGATGGAGCCAGCCGTGAGAGTTTGCCAAAGGCATCTGAACCAAGTGACGGGGCCGATGTGGACCGTACTAAGTCCACATTGGAAGCCGATGGCATGGAAGAAGGTGAGGAAGAAGAGGCAAAGGAAATCGATGAAATCGAGGAAGTCAGCTGAGCCAGCTGACTGAATTTTGTAGAGACCCCCGACCCATTGGATCCCTTGGACTCCCGGCCGATGGAAAATAGCAGGTGGTGAGCTCCAGCCGCCGCAGCGCAGCGCGTGGATGGGTTGGGGTAGTCGTGGGTCCCTATCTGAATTGAATATCTATCCTGATTGTAATCTCTTACCTGGTTAGCATGAAAATGTTTTAATAATAATTATCTATTTGAATTCTTTCCGTGGAGAGGTTCTCTTTTCACCCTCCGCTCACCACACCGCTGCGCATCTCGGAGCGGTGGCGCCCAGGCTGCTGGCGAGCTGCTCAGTGTTGCGGACGACACGTTGCCCGTGGGTCACACGAGCGAAGACCTCATGGTTCTACCCAGCGCTTATACCTGGACCCTCCGACCCTCGGGGTGTGCTGGCTGGACTACCCCACACTACCGGCCTAGGCTTCCAGACAGGGCACCCCTTGGATTCTTTTTTTGGTTAGCTCTCAAGCTGTTCAAGATTGTTCAAGGAGGTCGATGTCGGGTTGGAATCTTCTTCAAATCATTTGGCTAGGCTAGGCCAGTCAACAAGGCTTCAGCTCAGAATGTGTCTTTCCGTATCTTTCCGTCTGTAAAGCTTCGGTGAAAAGGGCTGAAGTAAGGAATGCCGTACGGGGCCGTAGGATGGGTCGGACGCTGACTGACTCACCCTTCCTCGTGCCCAAGACCCCTCCATCTAGCTTAAGCAATGGAGGGAAAGGTGAACCAATCATCAATCAACCCTGGTAGAGGCAAGCACACAAGGATCCTGCTTGTCTCCTTGTGGAAACACTGTCAGTTCAGCATCAGTTCCAGATCTGCTTTTCTTGCAACATCCATCAGATCTGACCAACAATGACCAGTGCTTCTTGCCCAACACATTTGGGATCTTTGTGTGTGTACACCCTAAACTGCCCGGCATTGTCATTGTCATGAAATGTCAAGAGTCAAGACACTCAATATGTTGAACCTCCTATTACGTTCTTCTTCCCGGAATCTCCAAGTGCCTTGACAGTTTCAAGCCAGCGGTTTTGTGTTTTTATTTGTGCGACAAACTGACAGGGTGTCAACGTCCATCTGAACAGCCAGTCTTTCCGCACACTTCTGGACCCATGAATCCCCACGCTCCACCTCATCAGCTGCAACTCTTCCAACGCTCTCAGGACGCCCAGTGTGAAGGCAAAAGCACGGCCGCCACCGCCACTAAAGGCCAAAGCACGTGTGACGTGCTGTGGGAAGCGCGGGAACCTGGTGTGGAGCCTTGTGGCTCCACAGCGCCAGAGTTTTCGGAAATTAGCTACGCGTCCCTCCAACCTGACTAGCGGTGGCCTCTAACCTACTAAGGATACTAGTAGATCAAAGTTCTTAATCCATCTTATCTCGTCTTCCTCTTTTGTCTATGCTATCATGTAAACGTTGCCGACTTCTGGCCGTGCACGTCAATTTTTGGACAGAACATGACAGAACAGGTCTGCTATTTTAGCATCAAGTTATATCTAGTTACTTAGTTGCCCTGTGGAAGGGCGCCTTCAAGTCCTCCCTACCTAGTAGTCTACACCAGCACCACCTAAAGGATGGCTACTGGATGGAACATGCATGGCTACTGGTCGGGGGGTCTATAAAGCACCCGACCTGGGTAGGTGCTCGCAGTAGTCTCCCGCTGACTTATCACATCACATGTCAAACATACAGTCCCTAAGGATCCAAGAAGGTGTTTGGGGTGGGTTTGGAGGGTCCAAGTACCTGTTGAGGAGGCACTTGGATCCCTAGGGAGTATTGCTTCAAGTCTCGAATGGTCAAGTCGGTGCCGACTTGAGTCTTTTGGTCTTCTGGGTGCCACGCATCATGAGAGGTCTTGATTCTATGGCACCTATGACGGTACAATGTTCAGGTTGTGATGAGTGCGGACTCATCAGCAACAGCATTCTTCACGAACAGCATCAATAAAAAACAACCTTCAACATCGGTAAATCAAGATTGAACCCATCCAACACCAATCGGGGGCCCGATTGCTGAATTGTTTGAACGTCCTGTCTGTTTCCTGTCTGCTGCAACACTCTTCTGGGAAAGGAACCCAGCAGCTAGCACACCCAACCCGGTTTTCTGTCCTAGGTTCCTCCACCTTGGACCCGTAACGGACAGAAACTGAGAACACCACAAAACAAATAGGGCTCCAACCACATCCCCAGAAACTGGTTTGGGGTGGGTGCCAGGGGGCTAACCACCTTCTTTCCGGTATCATGGTCTGTTCGCCCTAGGGAACATCAACTTCTCCGGTTCCGACACCGTGTTGATGCCTCATCTTTCGATGTGTTCTTCTTGTTTTCGATGCGGATGTGGGGCTTTTGTTGAAGAGTGCCGACCGATCACGGACGGTCGGATTAGTGTTGCTGATTAGTGTCAATGCTTTTGATATATTCGCGTAAAACAATCGCCATCTTCGGACAAGCAACAGCTTTCTTATGCTTGCATCCTTGCATGCATCCACAAAACAGGCCTAGAGTTGGTCGCAACATCTGAAGCTTCAACACAACAACCCTCAAAGAACTTTCCAAGAAAGCTGTCACTGGTCTTATAAGAAAAACGCCAACAACTTACATCTTCTTTCGACCCTATCTCGCGTCATCTCCGAGGTCTCCCTTTTCCATGCCCTCCTAGCGAACACCCTGCCGCCAAAGAACTCCTGCGTAATAGACACTACCTTGGCGCGCCAAGGACGCCCCCGGTCTTTGTAGCAAAAGCCGTCCACCTGGCAGTGGCCTGGAGCACACATACAATGGCCAGACCTCGGTTGAACGGGGTGGTTTGATTGACTTTTGACGATTTAAACGGCTTGGAAAGATCAGAACATGCTTTCAAAACATGTCTACATCTTTTCAATCACTCCATGTGTGGAATTGTTACATATTGAAATATTACTCCATGTATCACCTATATTGATGACTATTCGATACATGAATGGTCCGGTCTGTGACATAAAGGAGCCTTAGCATATTTGTGTACTGACATGTACTGAAGCCTCGAAGAGCTCGCCGCGAGCCTGAGAGATATGAGCCGTGGAGTCGTCGGAGAGCCGTGGAGGCTCAATGTGTCGGCTCATGCGAAGCGCGTCGACGATTGAAACAACGCGGCACACACACGCTAAGTCGTCTGCTCATGCCACGCTTGGCATGGCATTTAGCATATGCCGGACTTGAGATCACAGGGTTCTCGGTCATGAACAGGGAAAAACAGAGACTCCAAAGAGGTGACGTACTGAAGGTCCTGCTGGAACTAACATGGAAACGTGGAGAATGGCCCCCTTGGAAGGTGTTTGTTGTCCACTACAAACAGGTGGTTGTCCAGTTACCATGTTAGTTCCAGGCCGATCCCGTACGGCGGCGGCAGGTACGCTCACCGAGCCGGGGAACTCACAGGTGGTGTTGCCGTAGATGCTGGAGCAAGCAAAGACCCGGCAGGTGTGGTCCGTTTGCCGGACGCACCTGGCCGAGGGCGAAGGCGCGGAGAAGGCCGTGCCGTCCAAACACCTCCAGCTCATGAGATCAGATGACTTGCCGGAGGTTCTGCCAAGCCCATTTCAACGATTTTGGAGTGTATAAGCCCAAAGGGGGCTCATCGCCCAATTTCTCTCCCACCTATATAACACTATAGGTCTCCCAAAAGTGTCTGACCCAGCCATGTCCATGGAATATCCATAGGTTGACCCCTGCTGGATTCCTCAGTGGGGTGAATCCCAATCCCCCGAAAACGTGACTGGTGACCACCAGACTCTCAATCCATCGGAGCGCCATCGGGACCGTGACCTGTCGTTTTGATGCTGGGAGACGCAGGCGCCCCGGTGGTTGCAGTAACCCGCTTTGCACTTGCACCGGCGGCTCTCGCAAGAGACCTGGCGGGCCACAAAACGTGGCCACAGGGATTTTGACCCACGCATCGCGAGAGGGGGGGAAAGGAAGCATGTTTCATGGGTCAGCTGCCTGTACTGGCATGAGCACAGTATAATATGCAAACAACATGTCGCTTTAGGACACATTGACAAACAAAAGAGCGTAGAGAGACAAAGACACAAAATGAATTCGAACACATGCCCATTTTCACTGACCAGCCAACTGGCTGGATGCACCAACGTGAGCCCATGTTTCATGGCTCGTAAATATGTATATAACTGTATGTGGTGCTCGAGGTGCTTGAATGCTTCATGTCAGAGGTTTTGCCATCCAAATCGAGGGTTTTACCAGTATCACATTCAGGGGTCCCCTCTGTAGGATTCAGTTGGATTGGCTTGCTTCGAGGGAGAAAAATATTGACAACAGCGCCCCGCGTGACGACATACGCGGGCCAAGAACGAAAACCCCACGATCCCAAAGCATGTTATAACCAACTTGGTTATTACTTGAAAACGTCCTGACCACCGGTTCTATCCCCCAAACACCTTCCTGAGGTGTACTTGGCACCACTCTTGACCCAATTTCAGATCCCTTCTCGAGTGTTTGGCGAAGGGATGTTCATCTCTCTCTCTCTCTCTCTCTGGTCTCTGGTTCATCCCTCCTATGCAAAAGCACCCCAAGCCGCCGCAGTTTTGGAGGGGAGTTTCAGACTTGCTCGGGTGCCCATTCTGAAAGCCTTAAAACTCTGACCCCGACAGTTTCTCTGAAACATGAGGATTAACACAGATTAGCTTTGTTGAGCCCATGTTCCGTTTTCCTTGCAGCTGATCTACTTCTTGAATCGGGTCCTTGAAGGTCATTCTCTGCCGCTGAACCGTCGACCGCTTTCAGTCGGCTCCTCACCGTGACCCGCTCCTTCGTCAACCCGAGAGCCGGAGCCTCGCCACGAGAGCTGTCGCAGGAGAAGAAGGAGCAGGAGCCTCCAGCATCGGACCAAAGATCCGGACTCCAGTCATGCCTTCCTTTCGGTTCGGTGGGACTGGGGTGGGTGGGAGGGTCCAGTCACACCTTCGGACAAGCTACGACTGGAGAGCCCTAGGGTATATCAACCAATCTTTGGACACAGGAGCCCAGCGCCTCCGGTATCCTGGAAACAGGAGCCCAGCGGGACTTCACCTGGCGCTGAGGTGGTCTCTCCGGTCATCTTCCAGATCGGGAGTGCTGGAAATGGCTGAGCATGGTCCGGGCTGGAGATGGCACAGCCCCAAAACATCAGATGACAAATGGATCGATGAAGGCATGACAACCAAAACATGACAAACAAAACGATGACAGTTGAGAAGCTCTTCACTGCGCCCTTGAAAGATGTGCCTCAGTGTCGATTGGTTTGATTAGACCGGATTAGACCACTCACTGAAACAAGGCTAGGCCCCTAGCGGATCCTAGCGGCTAGGCACTTCTTCTTAAGATTGCCCCGAAGTTTCGACCGTTTCTCGACACAGAATGGAAGATTTGACTTGGTCGATCAACACATCTGAAAGTGGTCTCTAAATCGATCCCATTCCCAGCCTAGATCTTCAGGCGCACTGGACCAACCCCAGCTCACGTTCTCCTGACTGGCAAGGCATTCACATAGAACATCAGAAAACCAGGCCAACGCACCAGGCCAGCGAATTGGGTCCGACTTCCAGCAATAAATAAAAGACCATTCACATTTGTGGGGTCCAACACAACATGTGGCGAAGTTCTGAAGCCACGAATCGAAGGAAGAACCCAAAAGATATACAACCTATGGGCGGTAAATATCAAAACACTATATATAGTATATTCATGACATCCCATCCCACACTTTTCTGAACAGTTGATGTTCGAACCCCCCTGAAACTAAAAAAGCAAACAATCGTATATGAAGCACTTGTTCAACGTCATTGTCACACCTCTACTTCTACTTCTTCTTCTTCACCCAGAAGAGCTGGTCTCCGACCCTTTCTCTCCATCGCTCGGGCGAAACGGTGTCCGCTCCTCCGAGCGTTGGGCAGCACGTCGCTGGAGCCAGGACGTGGCACAGCCTGGACGGTGGGTGACGCGCCACCCGGTCGCGTCGTGGGGAGACGTCGGAGAGCCGCCGAGCTTGTCTGGGACGTGCTAGAGGGGCCTGTGCTGGTTGGGTCCTTTGAAGCCCATGAGCGGCCTGGGAGACGTTCGAACTCGAACGGCTCCAGGGGGATGGAGGTCCGGAGCCCCGGTTCGACTAGAACGAAGAGACTGGTGTGGAAAGCTGAAGCTTTGACGAAAAAAGACACGTGCGGAAGTTGGGTCGGATGCTCAGATGTTATTCAGCATGTGATTTGGTTCTGTCGGGGCTCGCTTGGCAGGCTGGTTTTTCTTGTACCAACCTTTGTTGGAGTGGTGGGGAGTCTATACGGCCGAGCCATGGGAAAACACACATTCACACACACACACACCATCCCAGCAGACACAAAGGGGTGCCTATAAAGCGTTCCTACTAGGGGGATGTTTAATTAAGACCCCTTTGTGACTGCTGGCGTTCACGCTATCATGGCCATAAACACCATTTCTATCCATTTCTTCATGTCCAAAAGGGTGGCCTTTCTGCCACCCTTTGGATCCACCGGAACCACCCGGGTGCCTCGCCATGACCGTTTGTTCCCACCCGGTTCGGGTACCTGTAGCGGTCTTGGTCGCGCACTCATCGTCCGAGACCTGGTGGGACGTGGGTCCAAAGCGGTGCAGGGCTGCCGACTTCAAGTCGACAGCCGTTTCGCACCCGAACCAAAAAATGCTGCTCACGAAAATATGTCGCATTATTTCGCATCATTTCGCTGAAAGAAAGCCAAACAGACATTTAAAAACACACCTGGTAGGGCTGGGACAAGGAGTTGTCACACTACAATACACGAAGGCCGTCTGAGTCTCTGTATGTCTTTTGGAGCCACAGCGGCAATGGCTCCTTTTTCTGTTAAAAGTGAAGGCACGGATGAAGGAGTCCAATGGAGCACAGCGGCCTAATGGAGCACAGCGGCCTGGCCTTCGAGTGTAAACAAGGATTGATCCACCTACTGAATACAATCCATGAGTATACGGGCTCCGGAAATGCAGGCGAACCGGTGAACATACCAAAGATTCCGCATTTGGCCTAACAAAGGATGCAACGGGTTCGTTACATCCAGATATCTTCCTACCTCGGCGGGGCGTTTCTTCTTCGGCTTTCCTTTCGGGTCCAATCACCTCAACGCGGTTCTCCATCGTCTTTGCTTCATGGCGGGTAGCTGTTCTCAAACAAAGAACCTTGGTTCTTTGGAATTGGTATATAGTATCATATATATATAGTAACTATAGTATCATGATAGTTTAAATAACATATAATCATATAACACTTCATATAATCATAACTTACCGGAAACCCGTGCAGCCCAGCAAACCTTTCCTCCATCCATCCCACGTCGCAACCTCTTCTTGCGCAAGCGCTGCAAGTCCGGCCAAGCACCATAGACACCAGTGAGGCAGCATCGAAAAATGTCGTGCGACCCGGTGCTTTGTTAGCTGTAGGCTTCGGTGTGACTGGGGGGGGGGCGAGTTGCTGGGTTGAACTTTAGGAGCAACAATTGTCAAAAAAAGAGGCCTCCGAATACTGGGAGGCTCACCTATGGCTTTTGAGATCTACTGCAGTGAGTTCCCATGGGTTTTCTCCGAAGTGCTGAAAAACAGTAACTGTTGCAAAACCATGTTTGCAACATCGGCTTCTTTGAGCTTGGGAACTGTCCAATTCCTATATATGCAATGCAACATAATGCAAAGGATTTGCTCTTCCGCCCTTGTCCCTTCGCTTCCCGCAAGCGTCACCATGTGCACTCATAGTGTACTCACCAGGTTTTGTCTGAGCCAGTGTCATCTAAGTGACTTCATCTCGCTTGAAAACATGAACAAACTAACGGTTCTGGGCTTGGCTCCAATTGATTCCGTGCTGGATTTGGTTGAAGGAACAAATTCACCATCTGACTGTGTCTGACTGGGCGTCAGTGTGAGGGGACGAAGCATCTGACGAAGCTTCAGAGGAACACCCCAAACAGCTCAACACCTGATGAACTCATCAAAAGAAAAAGCATGTGGTTCTCAACGGCCGTAATGGATCAAAAAAAGTCGACTCGGCGAAGCAAAACGCCGACTCGGCGTGCTTCACGTCGATCAAGTGATCCCAACACGTTGAATTTGGGGAGGAACTTCTTCTTCGGCGCCGAGTCAATCCTGTCTAATCCTAAGCATGCCTAGGGCGCCCAGCCCATACCAAGATCCAACTCAGCGGTTTGACATACCAAGAGCCAATGGTAGTTGACGGGTCTCACACCGCGGTACAGAAACGGCTGAATATTGCACCAGCCGCACACTTTTCTTTACAAATCAATCCTGCAAATCAATAAACTGACGCCTATAGACGAACCAGCTGGCGTTGGCTGGTCCAATCTGGATCGAAGCATCCGTAGATGAAACAACTGAGGATCCTCAAATAGAGTTGAAAAGGATGAAAAAGGGCCTCAAAGTGCTGGCGTTCACCGCATGAACTACTCCACTGCGCCTCACCCGCGTGCCGCTGCCAGGATGGCATCGTGATTGCCCAGCGTCCCTCGCGCGCGCCCGGCGGCGCCCGCCACGGCGGCGCCGGCCACGTCCTTCACGTCCAACGGGGGAGACAGGGCCAGGCGCAAGGCGGCGGGGGAGGCGCCGGCAGCGGCGCGGAAGAGGTCGGTGGAGAGGAGGGACTCCACCTGAAGTTGAGGTAGTTCCAAGGGTTGAAGTCCCACTTTTCGTGATGCAGAAGTCATGGTCAGAATGCCAAAGTGGCCGCTAGACCTGGGGAGTGGTGGATGGTGGTGGACTCCAAGTTGAGGGGTGGAGAGAGGTTGGATGGCACGAGTGGAGCGGCTGGAGAGGTGGCGACATGCGGCGGCGACACGAGGCTGGGCTAAAGGGTTGGGGCTGACGCCTTGGATGAAATGGATTGGAAAAGTTGCATGCATATGGGCTGTTTTGGTATTTTTTACTTGCTGATAGGCTGAGCAAGGCAAATATGAGTCTGGTACCAGGGAAACGTGACACGACAAACACCGGTGAAACGAATCAAATCATTCAAATCCACTTGTCCTTGTCTCCATCCCTGGTTCTTCTCGGTGTGGCCTTCTCACCATACCAGCCAGCCACTCGAGGCGGCGTAGCACTGAACTCCTCTCCGCCGTAGATGAAGCTGGGCTGCCTCGGTCATTGGATGGATGGATCTTTTTCGGCCTATCTCCGCCGACTGAAACGCTGAACCATGGGAACCGGGACCATCTTGTTCTCCGGCTGGAATCCATCAATGCTTACACTCCGGCCGGAAAAGCGAAGACGGAGACCCGTGGAGTGAAAAACCTGACGGTGTAGTGGTCTCTTCAGACGGTCCTCCGAGGCCATCGGTCCGTGAAATCGCCAATTGACCTACTATGTACTATATGACCTACGCCCATTCGCTTCTTTCGCTTCTTCACACTATACAAGATTATATATACCCAAAGATGAGACGCCAAGCACCGATGTTTTTTCAGTACTCCAAACATGTTGCAACGGATGAATGTCATGTAGCGGCGATTGCCGAAGATCTATGGCTAACGGGACCCTCTGAGGGGATGGGAACCAACCTCTTTCCATTCTAAACCGATCAAAGGGGGTCGACCCAAACCATATTGTTGTCCAATCCTCATGTCGGTTTCAGAGTAGATGGCACGTCTGGGGCCCCAGGTGAGGTGGTTTATATGCACCACTACCAATGGTCACAGTAAGACACTACAAAAGACATCTTGGGCTGCCAGCGCCATCCACTCTGAAACCACTATACTATACTTCATTACTTCGAACCATCCCATCCCCCCTCAGCAGTGCCATGCCACAGGATCAGCTTCTCGTCGAACTGCTCGGTCGCTGCTTCGGCGCGACGCTTGCCCTGGATGTAGGGCCCAAAGAGGGCGTCGACCTCAGACGTTTTTCGTTGTCACCCTTCTGCTTATATATTCTTTATTGACAGGCAATCTGCATTTGAAGGATGTGTGGCTGTGTCTTTTGCTTAGAGCAGCAAAGTATAGGAGTCTTGGCACAAATCCCTAAACCAAATTTGTGGCAAAGCCCGAATCAACCATTTGAGAAACATTTTCTGTGACGCGTGTCTAGTATGCTCTTCACGATTACCAAGTAACTAAGTAAGTCCTACAAGTACCTACTGAAACCCAAATGTGCTGCAGCTGGCCAAAAAGACTAATTCTGGTCCGCCAAAGAAAAAATCATTCAAAAAAAAACATCAACGCTTGGTGCACTCCAGGTTTTAGGGGATTTTAGGGGAGGGTCATCCTCATGTAGTCAAGGCACCCCAGCTTCAGCCACATCCTGTGCGTGGATAACGCACGGCGCGGAATCCACGCACTGGGCTGATGCGGCTCCAATCAAACAACCCTGAAGTCTCCTTGCAAGGTGATATGATATGGGATCTTGAAATCCACCAATCGCTAGGGATCCACATACCTTCTCAGAAGGTACTTGGATCCCTAGGGAATCCACTTTCACCCAAATCTGTTCCTCGCACTGTTCATCCGGGTGTCATAGACATAGACTTAGAGACGCGTTGGTGCAGTCAAACTCCAAGCATCAACTGATCTCATGCCAATGACTATAGCAACCCATGATCCACAAACTATAGCCAAGAGAAACTCACGCCTCCTCCGAGGTCTAGCCCACTAGCTCACCAGTGATCAGCCCAGATCTGCCCAGCCCTCCCTCCCCCTCGCCTTCGAAGCCGAAACCAACACAAACCGCTTGGCCTTGGCGGCCTTCGCCGCCGCCGCGGCGCGTTCGTTGCTCTGGCCGTTCAAACGCTCGTCGTCGCCCGAGCCGATGGCGCCCACGGCGGAAATCACCTCCGCTCGATCGAACGCGGCGCGGTGGCGGCGCGGTGGCGGCGACCGCGGCGCGGTGGCGGCCGGTGTAGGAAGCACCAGAAAGTTTAGACCCTTTGGATGACCAATAGATTCTCAGTTGTCATCTGACCCACTCAGTTTTCCTGAACCAAAAAGCAGTGGAGCGTTCTTCACGTGTTCGTCCAAATCATCCAATTCACGTGGTTGAGTGGAGGAACCCATTCCTCCAATTCTGTTAGGAGGTAGACTCCACACGTGTCCAAGTCACTGCCTCTGCACCCTCCATGAAGGGTGCCAAGTTGCTGCTGAGGAGGTCGCCCTTTTCCCATTTCACTTGGCCTGGGCGGCTGGGCAGCTCGGCCGGTTCTCGTCGGACTACTTAGTGGGGAGAAAAACTCATGAACATCCCGAAGAAAACACTGCTTGTTGCCGCATGAATTCGCTTCGTCCCTCTCGAAAGCAAGGTGAGCTGAGTTCAGAGTTCTAGAAGGAAACATGAGCGAGGAAGCCCGCTGGATGGTTTCAAGGTCTCCTAACCTATGAAACAAACTCCACCTTCAGCAAATCCAAGAGCAAAACGATCTCGCCCTTTACCGTCTCTGAAACCTCCCAGCTTCTTCCACGCCCTGGAAGATTCACATGGAATCTGGAAAACCTTTGGGTTGTAAAGGAAAATGGTCTTCCAGTCTGGTCCATGTTCAGGTTCCATGTGGGTCTCTTCCGGGTGTAGTTTCCAACTCTTTCAGCACGCAGTTATCGCCCAGCCAAGGAGCCCACCCAGTCTTCGGACACTGCAGGTCTCCCGGAGCGCGAGACGCTCACTACTGTGGCACCTTCTTGTAGCAAGCCTGCATCGTCGCGCAGGCGCCCGGTGCGTCATGCAGGCTGGGTGAGACGGTGAGATCGGAGCATTTGAGGGAGTCTTGGAGCACCAGGGGATGCAGGGAGTCTGGGACAGTCTGGGACTCTGAACACATCGCACTAGAGTCACATCGCCAGACATTCACGGCTTCTGACTTCTCCTTCTCAGATCCGGTACGGGGCCCGACCCAGGCAGTGTGGATGAAAAAACATCACCTTCTCAATTTCGCTCTGTGGATCCGGGTCGGGCTCTCTGCCGAGCGAAAAAGCCATGTTCCACCCGCGGACTCGATGTTTGGAGCGTCTTCCGTGAATCTGACTATAGACGTATCGGTCTGACCTGTGGATCAATGGATCTGAAGAAAAGAAGATCAGATCCCATTTGGATCGTTCTGTGGATTGGTCTTCTGTGTCTTCTGTCGATCTGCATCCCACTTGGTCCAAACCCAGACGCTTCCCGTCTGGAAACTGCCATAGGAGGATCCGATCAGTTGCCACGGAGGGGGTCATTGGGGCACATCTTCCGTCCCATGGAGTGTATCCCTATGGATCCAAGTACCTTCTCAGAAGGTACTTGGACCCTCCAAACCTACATAGCGGTGTCCCCAATCACCTGCTGAGAAGGTACTTGGATCCCTAGGGTATGGGACAGGACATGTTAGAGAAAAATCGAAAACAAAAAACACGGCGGTCCTGAACATACTCGTGACTCGTCTAAAACCGAGAGTCCCAAAAAAAGCAGCAGGCTGG